TATTATTATTATTATTATTATTATTATTATTATTATTATTATTATTAGACTAGAACTCTGTCTACAGAACTATATGCTGAGTATGTCACTGGGTACATCATCACTTGTGTCCCCACCATACATGTTAAGAAGTTTCCCAAACAAGAAGCCCTGTGTAAAATGAGATTTATTTTTGTGAAATCGTCAAGGGTTCGTATTATTTTTCATTGTTTTGAGTTCACATGGTTAGACTTATTGTAACCAAATTTATAGATGGTCTTTGATGGTTATGGCAGGTTGTGATATGCGGGGTGATATGGGGGATGAGATAGGATAGTCAATGTATGAATGTTCTTGAGCACTGAAATACCATGGTTAACCGGGCGGAGGTCAGGCGCCAATCTACTCTTGAATGTAAAAGATAGCCGGGATTTAGTTCTACTGACTATCACTGTCCAGTGATACTGTGGAATGGTTTGCCATGGCTGGGCATTCAAGCCATACTTCTCCAATTGCAATGCAAAATGTTGGATGCAGTAGTGCAAAGCACACTGGACTCTAGAGCAGTGGAGTCATATTCTCGGGAGTGGCGGATCGCGCTTCTCCATCTGCCTATCTAAGGAAGAGTCTTCAGAAAAGAATTGTTGTAATGTCAAATAGGCTATTTGTAGAGGTGCTTCCTTTCCATATCCAAAGGAGACAACAGTTTTTGGATCTAGTCAGGATGATTTCCAGATGCCTTCCACAGGGAGAGTGTTTTTTACTTGGATCAGAAGAGGGACTCCAGAAAGAGTTTTACATATAAAAATATATATATTGTCAAATCCTCCAGTTAATCTAGGAGATCTGGATTTGGTTGCTTTAATTGGGTCTTGACATCTCTAACCTGGTCAACTAAATTGATGTTTGTATCGATTGACAGACAAGTAATGGAAAAATACATTTGAAAATAAATACAGATATGCACATGTTATCAGTCTTTACAAGGGTTCCATTGATTTTTACTGTCATCTTTGTATCTTTTTCCATCTATGTACTGCATTGAAAATCATAACCATTTACCCTGAAATGAAAAACTACGGTTTTCCCTTATGAATGGAATTTTCCTGGATACCAGGTAATAACATCCCATTGCTAGTTTATCTGAAGTGTTCTTTGGTATTGAATTTGACTTTTCTGTCTTCGATATCTGCTCTATGTTATGTCTTCAAGAAATGCCCTTTGTGTTTTGTTGACTCTTCCACTTTTCCCCATGATCTGTTCTGCTAAAATCCCTCCTTTCATTCTACTGTATTTCCTAACCCTTTTTTATAACTTCTTTTCAATCTTCCATAATAGGAAGTGCAAGCTTTCATTTTTGCTGTATGCCACCTAATGTTTATCTGCTCTGCTGTCTACCCTCACATATATTGAATTCCCACATTTTACTGTGTTTCTCTCACTCTTAAACTATTACTAGTACTCACCCAAAACATTTATTAATCTGCCCTGCCCAAAAACTATGTTAACTTCTCCTTGTCATCATCCTCCTATGTCTCCTCCTCCTTTGTTACAGGATATTTGTGGTCGGAGTAGGCTTCTTCAGCCTGTGTTTTCTAATGACCTCTCTCGGGGGGAAGTTCTCCGCCAAGAGATTAGGGGACTCTCCTTTCACCATCCACACAGAAGGTATTGATATGCGATTTGTGTATGAGTGTTAATAGTTTTATGCTGTCACATTAGGGATGTCCCGATCCAGCTTTTTGCACTTCCAATCCGATACCGATATTGTATTTGCGTCTCTGATCCAATACTGACACCGGTATCAGAGCATGTATTAAAGTTTAAAGTTATTTAGCCTACTTAGTTGTTAGACTCATGTTGAAAAGGTATTTACTCTTATAACAACTAGCCAGCTGAATGAGGTGAGTTTGAATAATACACAGTGGTTGGTAAATAGACACTGACCTGTTTATTCAGGGATAAACAGAAAATAGACTAAAATTATAAATAACAAACGGAAATGGCATCAGTGACCAGTACAAATATAATAATATTGTAAACTGTATTAAAAAGGCAAAAAACACAAACAACCTGAATAGAAAATAATATATTAACTCAGCATCAGTGCTGGAAAACACGGATCTGACTTTTTAAAAAAAGCTGTTGATTCTACAGAAACGTAAAAAATGGACTGATGACATGCCAAGCCTTCAAGTGTACAACGTAACTCTGGTGAAAGACAGTCAGAGCAACTGGCCAATTTAACTTTTGTTGAAGACATTGCCTAGTTGATTACATTGCCTTGCAATTCATCTTTGCAGAAAATCTGCAAAGGTGAAGTTAAAATTGTGAGGCAAGGAACACCATACACCTACGTCAGACCCATCGTCGGAGAACTCTTAAAGGGATGGAAATTCTGATCAGTAAAAATGGCCTGGGGAAGGAGGGCTGTTGGAGGTAGGTGTGCCCAAATGGTGGATGGGTGCAGCAGGTATTTTGGCCCTGGGATGTATGGCTGTATTAGGTAGCTGAGCCTGGTGGTGGATGGCTGTATCAGACAGTTGGATCCGATGGTAGATGGCTGTAATAGGTACATTAGCCCGGTGGTTGGTGGCTGTAACAGGTAGCTGGGCCTGGTGGTGGATGGCTTTAGCTGCTGTCGAAGCCAGATGACTGGCACACAATGTGACTTTCTGTGTACTTTGCTAAAATTGCACTGTGCAATTGTGTACCCATTGAGGGTGGATAATATGTACAAGATAAAAAATCTTAATAATTTATTACATTTTCCCATAATGATATTGAGATGTTTGGAAATGTTTTTGTTTGAGTCTTTCAGAGGGAAGATGTGGGTGGTCACTGGTTTGACATAATGAAACTTGTCTTTCCACAAAACTGTGGAAAAAAATTAATCTAGTGATTTAAACCAAGTAACAGATGGTTTTAGGGGGAATCATTGAAACAAAGTAATTCATTTTAGCTTTAAAAGCTGAACATGATTTAGTGACGTTAGGTCTGAAAGCCTGGAGGAAATGTTTATGTCTAAAAATCTAACATTACGTGACTGTAAAGTGATGTCAGCGCACATTATGGAAGAGACTATTATGAGGACCCGGAAGTTCAGCCACACAGAAGTACTTTAAAGAATGCCCAGAACGGTGATGGTAACTGGTGGATAGAGCTAACAAAGTGTGGGTCGATGTCCAGATTCTCGGTGAGGCAAGAGTCTGACATGGGCCAGGCAAAAACAGTAATCCGGGGACGTGAACTGGGTCCGCAATTTAGACCAAAATAGGCTGAATGCTGTCCTTCAACCTGGCACGTGGCAAGTGGTAATCTGGCTGGGAAACAGAAACTGAAGACATCCTAAGTAGAGCTATTAAAAGGTTAACAAACTAGGTAAGGCTTCTTCTATTGTTTCTTCTTCCTCAGCTATCTGAAAATTGGCTGTGAAATGGGAAAATGGCAGTAATGTGAACAAGATTAAAACCAGAGAGATGAAGAGATTGATCCTTCTGCTTTCTGCAAAATCAGCCTGGCAAAAACAACTGTCCTTTGCATTAAGCATACCCTCACTGCCTGCAATACAACCCCCCCCCCACACACACACACACACACATACACGCACACACACACACACACACACACACACACACACACACACACACACACACACACACACACACACACACACACACACACACACACACACACACACACACACACACACACACACACACACACACACACACACACACACACACACACACACACACACACACACACACACACACACACACACACACTGTATCACACACATACACAGAAAGACATATGTTGATTTGTGCTTGTGTTTCATTTAAAAAATACTTTCTGGGAGAGCAGTAAAAAGTTGAGCTTTTTCATTTTGTAGTATTTGGGGTAATTTACAGACAATTGGGTCATCTGGTCTTTTCGTGGTTTAAAAAATTTAGGGACTTATTTTAGATTTCAAACAACTATAGCACCAATTTAATGGCAATCCCAGTCCCCCAAAAATAAAGTTGAGATGATTTGCCAACCTCATCAATCAATATTCAACACTTATGTATAAACTAGAGAAAGGCATTATGACAATTGTGAGATATTGTGATATGAAGAATATTACATCTTTCTCACTTGGACAAGAGTGTGTCTCAAAAAGGTTGCTGGACCTTTGGGAGAAGAATGTTCCTTTCTTAACTCATTTAGGTTTTCAGCTTCTAGCTGTTTGGCTTCTAGTCCCTGTATCATTTTCAGTCTTTAATATAGCTCAAAATGTTTTTTCATCCAAGTTGGAGCCTATGTTGATGTACATTTTAAATACAGATGTAGGCATTTGATCAGATTATCGATACTAAGCTGGGTGGTCCCTCTCCTTTTTAGTGTGGAGATTCAGCCTGAAATCTGTAAATTCAACAAATACTGACTTTTATTAATGTTTTGTGGGCGATGTCCTTAGTCTGTAAATCATCAGTGTGAATTAGTTACAGAATAATACAATATTACAATAATACAATAGTTACTTTAAAGTCATGTGGCACATAGCCCGTTAATAAAGACAGATTGATCACATTTAGTAGAGAAGTACTGACTAAGGGTAAGACTTCATTAAGCAGCCTAGTCAGGACGGGGTCCAAGAGGCAGGCTGATTGTTTGGATGAAGAAATGATTGAAGTTAGTTGGTAAAGATTGAGGGAAGCAAAGCAGTCAAAACATATAACTGGTTTTACAGCTGAGTTTTCCAGTTGAGGGCAAGTCTTGGTGAATTTAGTTTCTAATTGCTAGAATTTTATCATTAAATAAGCTCATGAAGTCATGGCTAGTGAGAGCTATGGGAATACTTGACTCGATAGAGCTGTTGCTTTCTGTCAGCCTGGATACAGTGTTGCAAAAAGACCTGGGACTGTTCCTATTTTCATCTATTAAAGATGAGTAGTATGCTGCTTTTGCAATACGGAGGGCCTTCCTGTAAGTTTTAAGACTATCTTGCCAAGATAAACAAGACTTTTCCATCTCGGTTGAACGCCGGTTTCTCTCAAGTTTCCGCGATATTTGCTTTGATTTGCGGGTTTCAGTAGTATACCATGGAGCTTTGTTTAAGTATTTGCTTTTTTAGGGGGGCTACAGAGTCAAGTGCTGTTCGCAGCAAGCCTTCAACACTATCAACAAGATGATCGACTTGGGAGGGACTGAAATTAACATAAGAGTCCTCTGTATCTTTATGACCTGGTAATGAATTTAAAGCTGATGGAATTGCATCCTTAAATTAAGCTATAGAACTATCAGACAGGCATCTTGAATATACATTTTTGCCCAGTGGAGGGTAATTCAGCAGTAAAAGCTCAAAAGTTAGCAAACAGTGGTCAGTTAAAGATGGATTCTGTGGGAACACTATTAAATGTTCAATTTCAATACCATACACCAGAACAAGGTCAAGGGTGTGGTTAAAACAGTGAGTCCATTCATAAACACTTTGACAGAAGCCAATGGAATCTAACAGAGAGATAAACTCATTGCTGAAGCTGTCATTCTCAACATCCACACTAATATTAAAATCCCCTATGATAATAACATTGTCCGTTTTAAGGACTAAAGTTGACAAAAACTCAGCGAATTGAGATAAGAATTTAGAGTACAGACCGGGTGGTTGGTACACTATAATTAATAGAATAGGTTGCAGTGATTTCCATCTTGGGTGGGAAAGACTCAGAACAAGGCTTTCGAAAGAGTTGTAATTCAGTTCAGGTTTAGAGCTGTTTACAAGGCTAGAGTCAAAGATAGCTGCAACTCCACCTCCTTGGCCTGTGCCTCGAGGAATGTGAGTATTCATATGACTGGGAAGGGTGGATTAATTTAGGATCACATAGTCTCCATCACCCAGTCAGGTTTCAGTAAGACAAAATAAATCAGTTTCATAATATGATATTAGTTCATTTACTAGCACACCTTTAGAAGAAAGAGATCTGATATTTAAGAGCCCACATTTTACTCTCCTAATCATTTGCACTATTTCTCTTGAGGTTTTAATATTTATGAGATTTTACCGCTCTGTGTATCCTTGATTTAAAAAATTTCAATGGCAGGGGGACAGACACCTTCACTATAAGGTTTTCACTAAGTAACTCCTGGAATGGAGGAGCAGATAAGTGTTTTACACTGTGACTCTGCCTCTTCCTCTCAACCCTCAACTTCAAGAAGATACTTATCAGGATCTGTTACCCAAGATCCTCATATCATTAACAATGTTTTTATCAATTTCTACTTAAAGTTATATTATTCAGGCAATGATCCATCAGAGATTAACGTTTGATGAATTTCTTAATAACATTAATCTCCCAAAATAACAGCAAGAACAGGTCAAGGTGTTGAATTCTCCTCTTTTAGTGCACTCCATGAAGCCCTCATTTGTCATTTGTCTAGTAATAAAGCCCAAGGACAAGATGGTCTCCCATCTGAGTTTTACAAGGAACTTTGGACAATACTGGCACCTACATTCCATATGATGATATAAGAAATTACAGAGAAGATCAAACTGCCCCCAAACATCAACTCCGCAAATATAATTTTTCTTTAGAAACCAGGAAAATACCCTATACTGCCATCCAACTATTGCCCATTATCTCTAATAAATGTTGATCTAAAAATAATCTCAAAATCCTTGCAAAAAGACAGGAAAAGTCCTTTAATACATCTGGATCAAACAGGCGATCCAGAAGTTCGTCGACCCGTGGCATAGGGTAGGCGTCAAACCGTGACACGTCGTTCACCTTGCGACAGTCCACACAGAACCGGATGGACCCATCCTTCCTACCCACAAGAACGATGGAGCTGAACCAGGCCAACTAGATTCTTTGTTGGGGGTAACTGAGAGGAGGATGCCATGCAAACTGCATAGTATCATGGACAACAACACTCATTATCTCTACCAGGTGCTGACCTCAAATAAGCTACAATGTATAATTGTTCCTCATATGAAAATTTATGAACTCAAGACTACTTTGTTGTTTGATAATTGCTTAATGTGATAAACAGTCACTTTGCATTTACATTGGGTTAGAAAAATGTTAATGTTAAGAAAAGATAAAGTAGACATTATATACATAAGGGTGATATTATCTAGCCATTGTTTTTTAGATTTTAGGATGTGGAAAAAAACTTTATTATAATGTGCTGATTTGATACAACTGGGGCTGTTGTGATAAATGTGGTCTTTATGGTACAGAATGTCGAAAGTTTGCACGAAATTAGATATGAGTACAAAAAATGAAAAGTACAAGATAAACTAAATATATTATTTCTGTCCATTTTTGTCTTTTCTTTTGGAGCTCGAATGTAAATTAAACTATATTCTGTTTGACAATAAACCAAATGTATTATAGGATGAAGTTGTCATGGTGACTCAGAGGTAGTTGTAGGGATCCAAATGCAAGGACACAATACAGGTAACAATGAACTCAGGGCAGCTTATTTATTTACAAAAGACAACAAAAAGTGCAGCAAGAGCTGGAAATGAAATTATGATCAAACTGGGGAAACAAAAAAATAATCCTAAAATTGATGTGATCAAAAGAACCCAGCCAGAGGAAGAACATGGGCACCAGGAAGGAAATATGGAAGGAAAGTGAACACACAAGGAGACCAGAAAAAAGACGTGGCAAATGGCAAGGATCTGATACTGAATGAAGAGACTGAAAAGCTTAAATAGAAGGGATGTGATTAGTTTAATGAAGAGCTGGTGAGAAATCCCAGAGAAAGAACAAAGAACACAATACCAACAACACCAAATAGATTCTAAAACAACCTAGAACAAGAAACTAAAGCAAAATAAAGATCAACAATCCTACTTTTTACATTAAACATCCAATGTCTAAATGGTTCAAAATATTAAAACATAAAACAATCTTTTTAAATATTTTGCATAATTTAGCATGCAACAAGGTTGTCTTTAATTTTCATCTTCATATAGTAAAGGTTTTGCAAAACTAACTGTAGCCAAAAGAGCTGCAGGCTTTATGGAATGCTTTTTTGGTGTTCATTATGGAGTAACTGCCCAGCATGTATTCTGAACTCACATTTCTTCTTCCACATGTGTTTATCCAGGTGTGGAGTTGCGTGGTGTGCTTAAGAAGATCACTGAAATGTTGGAGACGATTTTGAAAAGAATGGACAGCTTATCCAAACTTGATAACACCACAGACACAAGGCATCTTGACGAGCTCAGCTCTGCAATCAACAGGTATACTGATCTTCCATCTGTTCTGTGTTGTATATGTTAAATGTAAATGACTAGAAATTCACAGAAAATGACTGGTATCTTTGCTTTTCTTTCTTTCTTCGCAATAAGAAGCAATCGCAGCAAATACTATAATACTGATTCAGCATAAATTGTATGAAATGGTAGTCCGAGACCATGGTCTCTCACTGGAAAAGGTTAGAGTGCCTCTTCCGAGTCGGAGCGGACGTCCTTCCCCAAGTGGAGGAGTTCAAGTATCTCGGGGTCTTGTTCGCGAACGGGGGTAGGGAGCGTGAGATCGATAGGCGGATCGGTGTGGCGTCTGCAGTAATGCGGGCGCTGTACCGGTCTGTCGTGATGAAGAGAGAGCTGAGCCTTTATCGGTCGATCTACGTTCCTACCCTCGTCTATGGTCACGAACTTTGGGTAGTGACTGAAAGAACGAGATCGCGGATACAAGCGGCCGAAATGAGTTTCCTCCGCAGGGTGGCTGGGCTCTCCCTTAGAGATAGGGTGAGAAGCTCGGCCATCCGGGAGGGGCTCAGAGTAGAGCCGCTGCTCCTCCACGTGGAGAGGAGCCAGTTGAGGTGGCTCGGGCATCTGTTTAGGATGCCTCCTGGTCGCCTCCCTGGGGAGGTGTTCCGGGCTCGTCCCACCGGGAGAAGGCCCAGAGGAAGACCCAGGACCCGCTGGAGGGACTATGTGTCCCGGCTGGCCTGGGAACGCCTCGGGATCCCCCCGGAGGAGCTGGCTGAAGTGGCCGGGGAGAGGGAAGTCTGGGTTTCCCTGCTCCGGCTGCTGCCCCCGCGACCCGACCCCGGATAAGCGGTGGACAATGGATGGATGGATGGATGGATGGATGGAAATGGTAGAATAAACAGGGAATTAAGTTCCAGCAAACTGGTCAGTTTGCTGGAAGTTAATTATTTTATTTTACACAGAAAGTATGGAGCACACAAGAAGTCAATACATTTTAATTTTATCTGGCTGATGCCAACACCAACATGAAAACATTATAATGTGGCTAGTACTGAGCAACCTGGGATCATACCACATTCATCTTTAAACGTCAAGTCTGTTTGTGCCACTTACCTTTTGTGAGAACATACAGTTTTTATACTGTTTTGTGGACAGACACGGGCAGACAAGACCTAACAAATATTTAAAATTGCCTTTTAATAGCCATGCGTACAGTAGCACCATAATGTTAGAATGTAGGGCACATTATGGCTGAGTGATGTAAATCATTCAGCTTATCAGGATCAGAGATTCCTCAATTCACATGTCTAGAAATAAAACAGAGGTGCTTCTGTTCCCTTTACAATCCCTGGCAGACTGTAACATAGCACTCATCATGACTCTAACCTCTTCATGATTGGATTTGACTATACTCAGTTGTTGTGAAGTGTTACACTCTGACAGAATTCTCCTGTGTGTCCTCAAGCCGTGTTAAATAATCCCGATAAGCACTTGGATTTAGATCTCCTTTTGAGGCACTAAAGCAGAAGGATGGAATGATTTATATAGTCTGATGTTGGTGTTAACTGCAATCAATGTCTAGTAATGGACTATTTAAAGCAGAGAAAGCAGTTGTACTCTTGTGCCATTACAGAAAAGTGCTCTGATGAGGGTAAAATTGACTGTTTTGACAAATTTGAACTAGGATAGTGAATATGGGTGGCCCGGTGAAACACAGTCTTTCAGACTGGGGCACCAGCTTCATTGGAGCAGTCATTGGTTCAGTCTTTCCAGTTGCCTCACCTGAATTCTAGAAACAGAAAATTGGGAGAAGGAGGCAAAGGAAGCAGCGGGATATTCTGATTTGGTCGAAGACACGCTAGTGGAAGCAGAAAGTTAACGACTGAGGTGTGACAATGGAGGGTGGGATGTCTGTTTGGCTGGGGACAGGAGGGAAGGATGGTGAGCTTGTTCCATGACTAAACCTGTTAAAGAATATGTTCACCTCATTTGCTCTGTCAAGACTTCCATCTAACTGATCCTTTTGCTTGAAGCCTGTGATCTTCTTCATCCCTCACCACCCATCTCTGATACTGTTACTCTACAGTTTTCTCTATGGCTTCTTCTTATACACCTCCTTGCTGTTTCGACTTTCAGCTGATTTGGTATACTCCTCAATAACTCCCTGTTCTTCTCCCTTGGCTTGTTTAAATGTTCCTTCAGGTCAATAGTGATCTAGGGTTTCCTATTATGAAAGCATCTCACTTTTCTGGCGAGTATTATGTTTTCCACACAGATGTTTATATAGTCGGTCACACTCTTAGTCATGCCATCAGTGTCCTCCCCATGTGGCTTGCAAAGAGAAATCCAATCAGAAGCATCAAAACAACCTTCGGATCCCTGTGACTTTATGTTGTAGTTTCTGCCTTTCTTTGCAACATCAGTTAACCTGTCGACAAAAGGACAACTGTCTTCAGAAATATGGTGTTAAGAACGTGTTCAATTGACTTGGAAAATATATTCAGCATGTTAGCAAGGGCAGTACATACATAATCCTCTCGATAATGTTCCAGTGATTGAACATTAGATCCTTTTTTACACATGTAATGTATGCTGTTCATAAGCATGAAGACAAAAACATGAACAAAAACCTACCTGAGTGTGTTTATGGCATATTACTTTGAGATGCTGTTTGAACCCTCATTCTTCTTTAACCCTATACCCGATCCAATAAATTTTTTATGATATTTTTTTCTGTATTATTTCATGTATTTTGCACATTTTCACTATAAAAATATTCTTTATAACAGGGTTGTTGTTTTGTTTTTTTACAGAATGTGACTGTATGTTGATGCAATAGATTTCAGGCATCTATTAAACATTCTTATAAGCAGTTCTCTTAAGTTTTTCCCAGAATTCCTCTTGCTGAATCTCCAGGAGTATATTTAGCTCTATGTTATTTTTTGTCCATTGTGTGTCTTGCGTTTTTTGTAATCTACTTTAACTTCATCAGTGTGTCATCCTTTCTTGTTGCCCATATTTACTTGTAGGTTAAGGTTGGAAATTCAAGAATTGTCTGTTTACCAATATAGAAAATATTGCTAGATAGTCAGCAATTACTGAGCATCTATGTGATGGTCAGCAATTAACGATGTTAATCATTTTAATTTTCTACAAAATGAAGATTAAAACAGTCATTATTCTTCAGCAAGGTCAAGTCTCTTGCATTAAGGTGGGTCATTGGAACATAGGCAAAAAGTGGTGACATGAGAAATTAAACATCCTTAACATTAGCAGCTGAGAGACATTGTGCAAATATGTTGGCAAATATTCTGTGGATTTGCTGCTACATTGCGAGTGACGGCAAGTTTGTAATTTTGAGAGTTTGTCCTTTCTGTTCACATGTATGTAGCTGTGGGCACATAAGGACAAATGAATAAATATAAATCTGAAAATACCTAAGTAAATGTCACTCAAATTTGTGTTTTCACATTTAGTTGGGGAATGTGAATGGTAATGAGGCTAATGAGTGAGTGCAAAACGAAATGCCAGTGACAATAGCATATTTGAGTTTGGTTTAGTCCACCTTCAAACCATGCACACTGACATCTATGATTTTCTTAAACACTTCAACATATCTTTGAATAACATTATGGTGCGAGTACATTAGGTAAAATGCTTGTAACGTAATTACTCTACCACTGAGTTTGTTTTTGTTTTCATCACTAATTCTCCTGTCATTTGAGATCCTGCTCTTTTTCCCTGCCATACATTCTCTCATTCCCCTCACCTGGTTCTCTCCACCCATTTCCCCACCGGCAGTTCCATCCATCCATCCATCCATTATCAATACCCTGATGGGGTCGCGGGGGGGACTGGAGCCTATCCCAGTGGTCAACGGGCAAGAGGCAGGATACACCCTGGACAGTACGCCAGTCCATCGCAGGGCCACACACAAGACATACAAGGTCAAACAACCACTCACATTCACATTCACTCCTATTCCCCAATCTCCAATCAACATAACATGCAGGTTTTTTGGACTGTGGGAGGAAGCCGGAGAACCCGGAGAGAACCCACGCAGACACAGGGAGAACATGCAAACTCCACCCAGAAAGGTCCTGGTTCCCCCGGGATTCGAACCCAGACCCCTCTTGCTGGGAGGCGACAGTGCTAACCACCACACCACTGTGCCGCCACCTGCAGTTCATTAGCTTATATGTTACTCAGTATTTATACCAGTCCATTTCCAATTCTTCCTTGCCATATTGTCTCGTGTTTTTTCGTGCCAAGCTTTCCCACATTTACCTGTTCTGCCTACCTCTTCTGACCTCGGCTTTGCCCTTCTCCTTATCGGATTTGTTTGCCTGTTTTATTGATGTTCTGGTTTTGACCCTGCCTGTTTTTGGACTAAGTAAATGGATTCTCCCTCTATACTTTCCTGCCTTATTGTCGTGCATTTGGGTTCTCTGTTGCCAGGAGCAGTGGTCGTGACAATGTTTCATTTGTTCAAGAAAAAAAAAAATCACGCTCTCAGTATATTTACCTGAATAAGAGAATGGACACAAATTGTTTCTTTTTTTAAGTTCTGCTGTGACAGAACATAAAATTACATTGAGTCTATATACCATGCTCCTACCATACAATATTTGACTGCAAATGTTAGACTTGCCATTTTCAAGTCTTGGGTTGATCTATCCAGGGTTAATAAAATGATACACACATCGGTGATGATGGCTAGTCAGGTTATCAAAACACCTGTAAAAAAAATCATGCAAAAAAACAACAAGAAATTTTTGGCTTCACTGTGAGTCTTAATTGTGTTTTAAGTTTTAAGGGTGTTAGGGTTCTTGGGTTATGTTTATTTTCTGATGTGTTTTTGGTAAGATATAGAGTTTCTTAGTTTCCCCTTTTATTGTGATGTACATTTCCTGTTGTCATCCTCTTGTGTCTCTGTTTACTTCACCGCTCCTCAGTTTCTAGTGCTCCTTGCCATATGCTCATTTCTCCTGGTTGCAACTTCTGTTATTACCTCTCCCCTCTACATAAGCTTTTCAGTCATTTTATTTATTTTGAGGCTTTACTATGTTTGCACTGTTGCTTTTACTCTGCCTTATCTTTCCGTGTCTCGAGTATCCCTTTGAGGTGGGTTTTTTGGTTTTGTCGTGTGTCGTGTTTATACCTAGCATTACAGCACTTTTTTTATACCTTATAACAAACTTTTCTTTTCTTTAGTACTTTTGTTTCACCTATATTTCCTCCCTGGCCCTGCTCGTGGGTCCATCCCCTCACCACTGATATGACAGTAACAAAGGGGCTAGTTTGACTTTTTTTTGTCGATATTTTTGACACAGTTATATATTTTAAGCCTTGTTCCATGACTAAACCTGTTAAAGAATGTGCCTTTAAGGGTGCATAGAGAAACATGCATGGGGAGGTTTTCAAGTGCAAATGGAGCAAAGTGACCGCCTGCAACTCTGTTGACTGCCTCATTTTTTGTCTACACTTTGTAAAGCAACAAAAGGGCCTTTGTCCATTTGACTTATGATTTTATGCAGTTTCTACTTACATGGCATCAATTGCCTCACATTGAATTCTGTACACACAGACACAAAAAATATTACCTTATGATATAACCTTCTCTGGATGTCTTATTATGTTATGTTTCAGATTTCGCCAGGAACTAATTTCATACCCTCTGTTGAATTAAATATTACATTAACACACTCACAGATAATGGAAATGGGATTACATATATAGGCAAAATCGACACAGAGTTAATGTGTTTGTGCACATGCTTGACCTTCATAGCAGGATATCCATTGATCCTGCAGGATTCAGAATTATGCTGAGAAAACCAGTTGAAGAATAGGCATGAAAAGGACACTGATATTTTATGTGTGACTTAGAAGTCTGTCTGCCTATACGCACTGGATATAACAGTGCTGGTCAACTTCGAGATGCACTCTAACCCAAGAGTCATTTTGCATGTCATGCTACTGAAAGCTTTACATGTACTGAAATGTAAAAAAAAAAAAAAGGAAAGGAACAAAGTAGAAGAAGACAAAACGTAAAAATTGGAAAAAAGGGTTGTTCATGTGAAAGTATAATTTACAGCGTGGCAAGTTTATTTGTATGGCACATTTCATACACAGTGGTAACTCAAAGTGCTTTGCAAAAACAATTTAAACATGAAAAAGGTAAGCATATTGCAGTAAAATTGTTTTACTGATTTTTTTACTGATGCCCAGACATTTAGATGCAAGGCGCATATGTCTATGTGTGAAATTCTTCACACCGATGCAGAATTTTGCGCATTTTCATTTGTTAAATTTTTCATTGAGTTTATGTTATTGTAACACTATGTGTCCTTGCATTGCATTTTACGTTATGTCTACGTGCAGATTTCAACAATCCAGCCTGGTGGACAGGATCCAAGCTATAGCCCAGAATGTTTCCAACATGGCCATCAGGGTGGAGCAAATACTTCAAAACAGTATGGTCCAAGGCAGAGGTACAGTGTCATTTTCAAAAATATTGTATTCTCAAGGCAAGGCAAGGCAAGTTTATTTGAATAGTGCATTTCGTGTACAAGACATTTCAAAGTGCTTCACAAAGAATTTAAAAGCAAAAAAGAAAAGGAATAAAAATTAGATAGATGAAAAGTGAAGGGTGCAGATAAAATACATTCAATTTCCATATGCGGTTAAACAGAAATTGCCCTCCCTGGGCTTCCACCTTATCGTCGTGGATGGGTTTGAGTGTCCCAGTGATCCTAGGACCTATGTTGTCTGGGGCTTCAAGCCCCTGGTAAGGTCACCCAAGGCAAACAAGTCCGAGGTGAGGGATCAGACGAAGCGCAGCCCAAAGACCCCTTATGATGAGTACCATTAATGGACCCAGTGTTTCCTTGGCCAGATGCGGGTCACTGGGGCCCCACCCTGGAACCAGGCCCAGACCCGGGAGGCCAAAACGCATTGTGTCAGCTGGAAGCGCCTGGCGGAGTTCCCTGTTAGGCGGAGCTTTAACCCCCACCTCCGGGAGAGCTTTGAGCACTTTCCAGGGGAGGCGGGGGACATTGAGTCTGAGTGGGCCAGAGTGGGCCTCCATTGTTGACGCTGCTTCCCGGAGCTGCAGTCACAGGGCTCTTGGTGCCAGTTGTGGCGGCAACCCTCGAACCCGCTGGTGAACACCAGCGGTGAGGGATGCCGTCAGGCTAAAGAAGAAGTCCTATCGGGCCTTTTTGGCCTGTGGGACTCCAGAGGCAGCCGATGGGTATCGGCAGTCCAAGCGGAATGCGGCTCGGGTGATTGCCGAGGCAAAAACTCAGGCGTGGGAGGAGTTTGAGGAGGCCATGGAAAAAGACTTCTGTATGGCTTCGAGGCGATTCTGGTCCACCATCCGGCGTCTCGGGGGGGGAAGCTGTGCCCCACGAACAGTTTACAGTGGGGATGGGGTGCTGTTGACCTCAACTCGTGACGTTGTGGATCGGTGGGCGGAGTACTTTGAAGACCTCCTCAATCCCACTGGCGCGTCCTCCATTGGACGGGCAGAGGCTGAGGATCTGAAGTTGGGCTCTCCAATCTCTGGGCCTGAAGTCACAGAGTTAGTCAAAAAGCTCCGCTGTGGCTATGCTCCGGGGGTGGATGAGATTCGAGAAGACCCAAAAGACCCAGGACACGCGGGAGGGACTATATGTCCCGGCTGGCCTTGGAACGCCTCGGGATCCCCCCGGAGGAGCTGGCAGAAGTGGCAGGGGAGAGGGAAATCTGGGTTTCCCTTCTTCGGCTGCTGCCCCCGCGACCTGCCCCTGGATGGATGGAGTTAAATAGAAACGTTTTCAGCCTGGATTTAAACATTGTCAGAGTTGAGGCCAGTCTCACGTCTTCGAGAAGACTCAAGCCTTCTTAGATTGCTTTCACCCATCTTGCTCAGATAGTCAGACATTTAACCATCATCTCGTCTCAATTTACAGCCATGGTGTCAGTTTCACTGGCTTTTTAGCTTTTCCTTGTCACTTTAACTCCCTTCACCTGTACTTTCTTTGTCACCTGCTAATAATTATCTTAGTACTCTTACTACACAAACTTCTCTGCTCCATTTATTTTTGGATTCTTGCCAAATGTTGCTGTCTTGGTTGCCATACCTTTCCCTTGTCTCCATTGTTTTCATGTATTTGTTTTTTTCACCTTGATCTCAGAATTTTAAAGAGGTTTTTGTCTGGGTAAATGACTGTGCGTGCCTATGTGAGCATGAACACACAAGGTTTCACACAGATAATGCCCACTTGGGGGGGGGGGGGGGGGAAGCAGCTGACAGTCAGAATGCTATTGGTTTCTCCTGTTGATGCTCTTTCAAAGATGATGTTCCTCTTGCTTACTTGGGTTGCATTAAAATTCTCTGTTACTGTTACTGGAAATATATTAAGCGTCATTGCCTGGGGTATACATGAAAACATGCACCTGAATCTCCTGGGATTACTTTTCCTACCATGACGCTATCCTGTGGTGTTTAAAACACTTCATCCATCTCTTCCACTCTTTAGTATTATCAAAGTCCAACTTGCATGGCAGTGTTAACTGTGGAACCATTGCCAACTTTGGTGTTATCACATTATAGCTATGGTCCCCAAACTTATTTCCCAACCGGACAGTTTAATGTCAGTACATTTTTCACAGATAGCCTTTTAAGGTTTCATCAAATAAATACAACTAAATCTAGCGAGTACTTGTATATAATATGATTTATTACTTTAGTCTAGCATATGTAAAGATTTTGACAATGAAACTGACTTTGACTTTGATATACTCTTTTAATGTAGCTTGAATGAGTACCTTTAATTGAAAATAAATATTCATATTTGTGTCAGCTATATTTAAAACAATGTTTAGACAGTATAACTGCACAGACTATGCAGCGTGATGTGGTTTGCATGGTAAAAACAATATACAAGGTTAAAAAAGAAGTGTACAAGTATAGTAAGTGAGATGGATTTACCATTTCTGCTTATCAAGATGTGTTACATGTTTACTGTTCACTCACTGTCTTTTCAGTCGTGAGAGATGGGACATCAAGCCAGTGTGAAGTCCCAAAAGACAGACACTTTCCAGAGTGTTCTGGAAAAGTCGATGTGAGTTTAAATTTGTTTTATGATTATAATGTTGTGTTACAGATCTTTTTTTTCAATTTTGTCCTTAGTTGGTAGTAATGATTCTCACTTGGAAATGGTGCTGTAAAAATAGATTTCTTGTAATCATCACATTAATTAACTGAAACGTCCCTTACAGTTAGATTGCTGCCATTAATCTTTTTTCTCTTCAAGTTATAGTGTAACATGTCCTTACAGCTCGATGGAATGTACAGTAGCTGTACAACAGACTTTTATGTGGGTATGTATTTTTTTCTTTGCATTTTTGTAATTAGTTCTTTATGTCTGCAGTGGATGCGCGCACGGTGGACCTCAGATCCTTGCTATGCCTTCTATGGTGTTGATGGTTCTGATTGCTCCATCCTCATCTACCTGAGTGAAGTGGAGTGGTTCTGTCCCCCACTGGCCTGGAGGAATAACACAAACTTCCCCACCCAGAATAAAGAGCAAGCAAAGTCCCCCAAGAGACAAGTAAGGGTATCAAACCAACATAACATCAACACAATTAAATGCCTCAATGAAGTTTGTCCTATTTACAGCTAAGTTCTGTTTAGACCATATCTACTTTAGGTGATCATGTGATAATTGGAGAATCAATTAAGAACTCTTATTTTAGAGATAACTTAATTTCAGACTAATTAATGTATACATAATAATAAGACACAATAAGCCTTCTGTCATGAATGTGCTCCTTGCTCCACCTATTGGGTTCTATTCCTCCCCACTCTGCCACACCCCCCTCACACTCCCACTCGCACTCTAACCTATCAGGAAGCTCAACTGCTCAATACTCCTGATAACTGCCACTTGCATCTTGTTATCAGCTGCTGAGTGTGGGTGTATTTAAGGCACAGGTCTCCAGCCATTCAGTGTCCGTTCATGTGTGATTCAGAGTGTATCTGTTTATTGGTATTCCGCAAACTGATCTCCTACCTGTTTGACTCAACCTGCTCGTCCTGACAATGGCAACTTTCCTGCCCTGGATTCCTCTGTCTGTGCCTGCCAACTCCAGCCGGTGCTGGTATCTGCTGCTTTTTGCTCCACTCAGCCTCTCACAGACCTCACCACAGCCACTGGATTCTCTACTTCCAGTCAGACTCTCACTCTCCACTTCCCCTTTCCCTTTAATCAGTAAATTTCACCTTCTGGTGTTCACGAACGCATCTGGTTCTCCTGTCTCATACCCAACACCTTCAGACTGGTTTAGACCCATTTTAATGTTCGTTTATTCTTTAGGAGCAAACGACTCGTAACTGCATCATGGCCCTATGTCAGCACTTTAGATATACTGTATATATATATATAAATATATAAAAATCGTTTTTGAATTCAGCGCTTAAAACTTGGCCTTTTTCTGGAGTTTAAATCAATTATTTTTTTTCTAAGCTCAAGACTGAAAAATAGATAAATGGAAAGGTTTTTGGTGTTTAAAACTTTTTGGGGGGAACTTTACTTAACATATCAACAGGGAAATTCAGTCGATTGTTAATAAATGTAGCATTAAAACAGAGATGTCAAGAAGTAAGACAGAAGTCAAAGAAGATAGTTTTGTCAAAGAAACTAAATGTAATCAGCTTGTTCAATCAAAGTGGACTGAAATGTTGAATAAAATTGTTTATTTCACAACATAAATTCAATTCAATTAAATTTTGTTTATATACCGCAAATCACAACAGTTATCTCACAGCGGTTTCCAAAAAGGGCAGGTCAGACCGTACTCTGAAGTTATTTACAGAAGCCCAACAATTCCCAACAAAAGCAAGCAGTAGGCGACACAGTCAAGGAAAAACTTCCTTTTAAGAGGCAGAAACCTTGAGCAGAACCATGGCTCAGGGTTGGTGGCCATCTGCCTCGACTGGTTGGGGTTGAGAGAGAGGACAGCGAGAGCAGAGGGAGGCAGCCTACAGAGTAAGTAATAGACATAATACGTAAGAAAAGGTAGTGTTGCTATAGACTGGATGAAAAGTGGTACAGAAATTGATAGCAATGTTAAGGATAAAAGTAATAATCGTAATAGCACTAGGAACAGTAGCTTTAATTGTAGCAGAGGGTGTCAAATAGGAACATGGGGGCAGCGGGAGCCTCCCAACCACAGATCCAGATTCCACAGCTCCAGAGCAGGAATACCTGTAGGAAGTCATAGGAGAACAGAGGACAGAGACGAGAAAGTAAACGATTACAGGAAAGGGAAAAAGTCAAGTTAGTAACATGCATTAATGGTATGAGGGTGTCACTGAGAGGGAGAGAGACAAAAGGAAAGGGGGGCACATTCTCCAGCATTCTGGATCAACTGAAGAGTCTTTATGGGCTTTTTCGGAAAGCCTGATAATAAGGAATTGCAGTCATCTAGCCTAGAAGTAACAGTTGCGTGGAATATTTTTTCTGCATCATTTTTACACAGGATGTTCCTGATTTTTGCAATATTACGTAGGTGAAAGAAGCCAGTTCTTGAAATTTGCTTAATGTTTAAGCAACATGTCCTGAACAAAGATAACTCCAAGATTTATCACAGTGGCGCTGGAGGCCAGGGAGATACCATCCAGGAAAACTATATCTCTAGATAATGCGTCACGGAGGTGCTTTGGCCCAAGAACAATACTTTCAGTTTTCATCTGAGTTTAACATTAGAAAATTACAGCCCATCCAGGTTTTAACATCATGAAGACACATTTTAAGCTTAGCTAACTGATCAGTGTCACCTGGCTTAATTGATATGAATGAAAATTTATGGAGTGTTTCCTGATAATATCACCTAAAGGAAGCATATATAACGTAAGGAGGATTGGTCAGAGCTCAGATCCTTGTGGACCTCAGTGACTAACTTTGGCATGCATGGAGGACTGAAATCGATCTGATAAATAGGACCTAAACCAGCTTAGAGCGGCTCCTTTAATGCCAATGAAATGTTCCAGTCTCTGTAATAGGACCTGATGGTCAATAAAAGAAAATGGAAACAGAGTTCCATAGTTGTGTGGTAGTTAGCACTATTGCCTCATAGCAGAAGTTTGAAGGGGGCTTTTTCCATGTTCCCTCTTGCATTTGTTGGTTGTCACTGGGCAATCTGAGTTTTATGGCTTCATCAAACTGGCATGAAAAAATGGGAAAACAGGGAGAAACAGGAAAAACACTGTCAGTTCTTAACAGAGTCATCAGTCACATGTCCTTAACAACAATCAAAAATGGGAAAATAACACCCCTTTTCCACTGAAGATGCTGCTGAGGGTAAGCAAACGGCCTTACTGACTACATAACTGATAATCTTCATCGGAGTTTGTTCATTACCCGTTCATCATTTTCTTCATTATCTTCTCTAATGTTGATAGTTAGTCATGGTCATTGAACTGATAAACAGGATGTTCTGCAGGGAAAAACAGTAGATAGAGTTCTATGGATTTAAATTGGGAATGACTAATGTTTGTACTTTACAAATAAACAGAATGAATTCCTACTTTTTCTGGTTATGTTGGCTTGATCTTCCATTTACTAATGATGAATGTATAAAATATTCCATATTAGTGTTTGTGCTAAATACGCTATGCTTTCACTTTGCCTTTTTTGAGCAAACAGGGAAATTTTTAGAGGGCCACTCAGACTGTCAGTTTAGATCGAGAATGATGTCTCCTTCAACACAATAATGCAGATTTACCTTGTCCCTGAGGCATGCTTGTATTCATGGTTATTTTGAGATGAGAAAAGTCTTAACTGTTTATAGCACTAGTTAGAAATGTATGCCAGAGTGCTCTGAGTTCCCTTATTATTTTTCATACTTGAAGAGAAATCTAAAAGAGCAAGATCACATCTTTTCTCGAACAAATGTAAATCTATACCGTGCTAATTTTTCAAATCCTTAACAAAAACAAAGCCAAAGAAACAATTATCCATGTATCCACTGACCTATTACTTTATACTGAAAAGTAATTATTGCTACACACAGCAAATTGTTTATTAGAATGTTTAAATGCCTGTATGAGTTAATGTGCATAGTTGTCTTTCTCATGTGTTTACATCATATTTTGAATCCTTACATTTTATCCTTTATCCGTCATGCTCCCAGGCTGCCTTCCGCACAGACCTTTCTGTACTGCTGGATCAGATCGGAGGAGGAAAAGAGTCTCTTAGCTTCATGAAGCATAGAATCCGTCACTTCACAGAACAGTGGGTAACAGCTGCCAACCGCCTGGATGATAAACTAGGGCATCAATGGAGGGATCAGAAGAAGGTAATGAATGATGAAATCAGGTTGACTGAAGTATTTATTGTTTTGACTATGATTTTTCTGTCACATACTTTCCAGCAAGAGAGGCTAGTTTTTGGAGCTAAAATGTCGACAGCTCAATTTTAAAATGCAAAAGAATTTAAACTGACATAAAAACTGACAATGAAAAATGCTTTGCTGAAATTAAAAATCCAAACTTTTTTTTAATGTAATTTTGTTTTTATCAATGTCAGAGATTTTAATTTAAATTCTTTGCCACAATTCTGGCGAGGGGGAGGCAGAGAGAGTTTATGGCTACATTCACACAACTGCCTGTTGTGACCCAAATAAAAGTTTTGTGTTATCCAATTTTTTTGCTTGGGTAGCAGGCGTGCTCGGTGTTTGCAGGGCAGTAATCGTAAAACTGACAGCGGACACGTTCACAGCCGCGTTGTTTGTTTAAGTCTTTGGTCTCCTTATATTTGACTCAGAATCTCTATTTTTCTTTGACCTTGAGGCCAGGAATACGACATCATACAAAAACACAACATCAACTAACTTGATAGAGTAATTTCTTACAGCTCAAGAGGAGACAGTCACTCCCTCACATGTGTCTTTGAAGTAGATGGTTAATTTTACATTTTAATAATTATATACGGTTTCAATAATGCCTGATTAAATAAGGCTTTGATGTAAAAAAATTTTTAAATACTTTTGATTTGTACATGATTGATAGATCCATGGCGCTGCAAATACATTGTAAAATACCTGTGGTTCAAGCCAAACAACACTATTAAATCCAGAATAGATTTCTGGTTGATCTTGCCCTTTATGATGAATAATTTTCAGGACTGCTTCATGTCCACAGCTCCCCTTACTGATCACTGAACTATAAGAATAGTCTTTAAACAACCCGGTGACATCCCAAGAAACAAAGACTACTGGAAATTCAACTCTAGTTTGATAAAGTTGCCAGTTTTGTGTTGTCAAATAAAAAAACATTAGTCTCCAATGTGATAATTGATGAGTTCATACCAAACTATTTTCTAAATGGGAGTTTTTAAAATAAAAATCCATAATTTTCTCATCCTGGATCTCAAAATGAAAATGAACTGCTTCATTATTATTGCCCTCTGTTTCCGGTTGACAGCTTCTGTTTCACCTTTTAAGATCTCGCCCAGCTCATGAACTGGGGGTTGGAACTGAAGAAGCTTCTTGGATAAGAGGCTAAACTTCTTCTGGAAACTTCACATCCAGTTGCCTAAACTAAACTTTTCAAGCTTGGCAGGGTCTAACCCTCACTGGAACCAAGTCTGACTTACTACCAGCGATACAGACCAAGCTCTGGCACCGGTCATACAGGGGACCATTTACATTTTCTTTCCCAAAATGTGATTTTTTTAAAAACATTGTAAAAGTGTTTCAGAATTTGAAATATTAGGTTGCAATTTCTGGCCACCATACGTCTTTTATAGACCAAGGCCTCATCCAGTATAAATCGGTGTGTGTATAAGGGAAAAAATCTGGGAATAGTGTAACATCTAACTTCCCAATTTTATGTACACTCACTTTTGATGGACTTAAATAACATCCATGCATCCATCCATCCATCCATTTTCGTGCCACACAGAGACATACAAAGACAAACAACCATGCACACTCGCACTCACTCCTAAGGGCAATTTGGAATGTCCAATCAACCTAACATGCAGGTTTTTGGATGGTGGGAAGAAGCCAGAGAGAAACCACGCTGACACAGGGAGAGCATGAAAACTCCACACGTAAAAGTCATGGTTACCCCAGGGACTCGAACCCAGAACCCTCTTGCTGTGAGGCAATGGTACTTTGATATGTTTGCGTATTAGCTGGACCCAAAAAATATTTTATGAACATTCAAATTGTTATAAACTGTAATTCTGTTTTATTTCACATTGAAATAAGAATAAATACGTAATGAATATAATCAAATTCAAATCAATAGAATAGAATTTAAAACATGCTTTTCAAAATCTACCATTGGGAGAAATTGAGATTATCATAGTTGAGAAATTAAATATCTACAATCATTTTTATATTCAATTCAGAGAAACTTAATTTTCTCATATTGCCAAATCCCAACAAATGTTATATCGAGCCAAATTAAATTTAAAAAATCTATAATAATGTGAGCAGATCTGTTAGCAGCCACAGTCAAAAACCTGTCTGCCTGTTGGAACAAAAGACCTCCTGAACCTCTCATTCCTGCAATGGAGTCAAATGAGCGGGTCAACTACTCCTCTGTCCTTCCAGAACGCTGAGGAGGGCATGTTTACTGTTCTCCAAAACAAGACGTAATTTATGATTATACCAAAAACAACAAAAACAATCTTAATTTAATCACACTGAAACATAGTGTCCCTGTTTCTGTTTTTTTCAGATCCTGGTTCATGTGGGCTTTCTAACAGAGGAGTCTGGAGATGTTTTCAGTCCAAAAGTGCTGAAGGGGGGACCTTTAGGCGAGATGGTCCAGTGGGCTGACATTCTGACTGCCCTCTATGTTCTGGGACAGAACCTCAAGATCTCTATGTCGGTAAAGGAACTTCAAAGGTCAGTACTGTGTTTAAACAACATGACTAACCTTGCTTTAAAACCCTTTTCAGAGCATATTTTATAGAAAGTTTTTTTGTCAGGATAATACAGGAGGGTGTTAAATCCTGCTTGGCATTGCTGCCTGTCAACAAGATGATCAACTTGGGAAGGACTGAAATTAACATAAGTGTCCTCTGTTTCTGTACGACCTAATAATGGATGTAGAGCTGATGGAATCACATCCTTAAATTTAGCTATAGCACTATCAGACAGGCATCTTGAGTAGACATTTTTACCCAGTGGAGGGTAATTCAGCAGTAAAAGCTTGAAAGTTACCAAACAGTGGTCAGATAAAGACGGATTCTGTGGGAATACTATTAAATGTTCAACTTCGTTCGTGAACACTCTGAGAGAAGCCAATGGAATTTAACAGAGAGATAAATGCAGTACTGAGGCTGTCATTCTCAACATCCACATGGATATTAAAGTCCCCTACGATGATTACTTTGTCCGTTTTAAGGACTAAAGTTGACAAAAACTCTGCAAATTCAGATAAGATTTCAGAGTATGGACCGGGTACTCGGTACACTATAATAAATACAATAGGTTGCAGTGATTTCCAGCTTGGAACGACTCAGAACAAGGCTTTCAAAAGAGTTATAATTTAGTTTAGCTTTTGAGCTGATTACAAGACTGGAGTCAAAGATAGCTGCCACTCCACCTCCTCGGCCTGTGCTTGTGAGTATTCCTATGACTGGGAGAGGTGGATTAATTTAGGCTCACATATTCTCCATCACCCAGCCAGGTTTCAGTAAGGCAAAATAAATCAATCTCATAATCTGATATTAGTAAATTTACTAGAACACCTTTAGAAGAGAGAGATCTGATATTCAAGAGTCCACATTTTACTTTCTTATTTGCATGCACTATTTCTCTTGTGGTTTTAATTTTTATGAAGTTTTTATGCACAACTCCTCTGTTTACCATTGATTTTAAAAAATTCAATGACCGGGAAACAGACACTGTCACCATAGGTTTTTCACTAAGTAACTCCTGGAATGGAGGAGCAGAGAAGAGGATTACACTACAACTCTGCTTCTTCCTCTCAACCCTGGATTGTCACTGATCTAGTCTGTCTCTGGAAAGACAAACCTCCACATATTAGTTTAAAACTTTTTCAATAGCCTAAAGAGAGTGGTGGATTAGATATATCTACTTTTGTTAACTCTTTATTTTTTAGTCAGCAGGTTAAAATACATGTGCAAATGGCTCAAATTGAGCCCACAGGATGAAATATAGCTATACATAAAACAAGCACTTTGTTAAAACCTGTAAATATCTGACCTGCCATTTATTAGTCCAAATATGAAGCATCACACATATATAGAAAGTATGAGCATCAGCACTTCATTGACTCGTGGGAATTTCCAAACATTTTAAAGTCTTCACTTTTATCCTGTAAGTTACACCCATTTGGAACAATCATGACATCCTCCAAAATAAGAAAATACTAAACTTTACTCAACAGCAGAACAAAGAAATAAAATGTTTATTGTATTTTGTTTTTTTATGGTCTATCCGATTTGGCTGACTGTGGTTGGGTCTGGGTCGAATTAGTTTAATTCTTCGTTTTCCTGTTAAGTTATTACAGCAGAAATGCATTTCAAATGTCAAAGAATCACTGCTCACTCCACTATATATTCACCTCACTGTAACAAGAGCAAACCAAAAGGGACTTTTTTCTGAGTAATAGACGTGTTACTGTGGGCTGAAGTGCAGTGTCAGGGATTAATGTGTTGTCTTTCTTTTCATATATTTTTTAGTTTGTATCCTTATTGTTTTATTAATTTGTGTTGCAGCTTCCTCGGCGTGCCCCCTGGCAGAGGTAGTTGTCCACTCACTGGCCCATTGCCCTTTGACCTAATCTACACAGACTACCATGGCCTGCAGCAGATGAAACAGCACTTGGGGCTCTCATTAAAGAAACACAAGTAAGTAAGCATGTGTGAGCAAGAGTTATAGCTTTCTCTTCATCACCTTTATATTTTGTGTGTGTGTGTGTGTGTGTGTGTGTGTGTGTGTGTGTGTGTGTGTGTGTGTGTGTGTGTGTGTGTGTGTGTGTGTGAGTGTGTGAGTGTGTGAGTGTGAGTGTGTGAGTGTGTGTGTGTGTGTGTGTGTGTGTGTGTGTGTGTGTGTGTGTGTGTGTCTGTCCTCTTGAGTTTAAGAAATTGAGAATTATTTTTTCTAAAGTAGAAAGAGGGGGTAGCTGTAAGCTACAACCTTGATGACTTAGGATAAAGCTTCTCAATTGTAAATATTTAAAGAAGTGTTTGGAAGGGATTGTGTACTTAGATTGAGGACCTTCAAATGACATGAAGATAGATCTTTCATTGTATAGGACAGCCACCCTAGCTATACCTTGAGATGCCCAGAATTTAAATCCTGCATCAGATCTACCAGGTTGATAGGTATTATTGCCAGAAATGGGGGACAACTTTGATCATGTTTGTGGGGGCTCAGCTCAATGTTCACAGACTTTAAACCAGACTAAAATGGTATTTTTAAGGTAAGGGTGCTTAGTCTTGCTAGTTTGTATGTTCTTACTGGCAGAGTAAATATATATATTTAGTGAGATATTGATTTGATGTGATTCAATTGAAATCCAGGCTGGAGGATTACTTTTTTCAAAATAAAACATCCCTGCCCCGATTTGAGCTGCCCAATAATACCATTCAAGATATGGAAGCTTTAGTCCACCTCTATTGCAGGGTAGGTACAAAAGTGATACTCTGAGCCTGGGTCGACTATTGTTCCATATGAAGTTATAAAAAAGCTTACGTAATGAGGGGAAAAAGGATGATGGTGGTGCAAGTGGGATTGATTGAAAGAGGTATAAGAACTTAGGTAATATTGACATTGTAAGAACATTCACTCGTCCTATCATAGAGATAGGGAGTTTTGTCCATCTATTCACAAGCTGAGTGACCTTTTCCACAAGAGGGTTATAATTATCAGGAACAATATTATCGTGGGGCGAGGTCCTCAGGTTGTGGAAGACACAATGTAGAGCAGGGGAAGGGGTGGAGTTGGTGGGTGTGAATTGAGGTGGTGAGGAGAAGACAGGGGGTCTGTAAGGAGGAGTGGGGGAAGGTTGAGTTGCAGTTACGGGGTAGCCAGCAGCAGAGACTTGTGGGGGATGGGCCTCAGTATCAAACCTATTGAAAAATAGGTTCAATTCATTGGCCCGGTCCACTCGGACTTCCAACCCCATGCCACAAGTCTCATGGAACCCGGTGATGGTTCTCATGCCACTCCACACATCCCTAATGTTGTTTTGCTGGAGTTTATTCTCCAGCCATCTCCTGTACTTGTCCTTAGCCTCCTTAATTTTAAGTTTGGGTACCCCCTGCACTCTCCTCCATGGTGATCCATGGTTTGTTGTTAACAGGTGACAGTCCGAGCTGGGACATTGCAGTCAACACAGTAGTTGATGTAGTCCGTGATGCACTCTGTGAGCCCATCAATATCCTCCCCATGGGGCTCACAGAGTGCAGGCTAGTCTGTTTAAGCTACATGTATGTTTCTGAACATACAGTCATTAAGTGCATGTAGGAGTGAATATTGCTGAATGGCCTCAGTATCATTAGACGCAGGTCTATGGATTTCAGTTAACGCTTTATTTCCTAAAAATTATATAGCATTTTTATATTTTTTGTTATTTTAGTTATACAGTAACTTAGGTTTAAATTGAAGTGTCTGTGTACCGTAGAACTGATTTTAGAGTTCTTCGGTCCTTGAATATGAGTGCTCAAAGTTGTATAATCTTTTAAACCCTTTTCTTATAAGAGTAATGGAGGAAGCAGGGCAGGCGGGGAGAGTAACAGCTGGACTAAACATTCTATGCATGTGCTGAAACCCCTTTTATCACACGTGCACTAGAACTGACTGGAAGTAGTAGTGTTTAAAACACATAATAGGAAGTGGGTAAGTGAAGTGTAAATTATTTCTTTCTTTTTTTTTTATCTATGCAGTTGGGAGAACAGGTAGAACAGGGACCAGGTAGAAACATTAATGCTGAAAAGGGTATTTTTCTTTGATTTGTCTGTGATTCTTACAAATCAATATTTTTGGGGAATCTGTTATCAGTGTGTTTTACTTCAAACATCCCTAACAAAACAGTGAAATAAGTCGAACTCCAAGTACCTGTATTGATTTCACTGGGATTTACAACTCAAATTTATTTTTTTACATAGCTAGAACACAGAAATCTATTTCAACCGATCGCAGAAGACACACAGAAGCTGTCACGCTTTTTTTCTTTTTAAATATTCCTGGCGGACTTGAAGGCATTAGTAGATTATAAACCCAGATTAGGGAGGATCTTTGCTAGATTTTTGTGAAGCAGTTAGAGGTCTACTGTAACATTTTAGCTGTATGGTGGCCTCTGGGAACTCAATATAGCACAGGTAAGAGTTGCAATCTGCTTTGGTTGCGTTGATTAGATTTATTCTGTGTGTTTTGTACAGGTAATTGTGTGCTACTTGGCATTGCCAGTGTGGAGGATTTTTTTAGTAATCTATCCGATGAGGAGCAGTAGCGCTGAAAATCAGTTGCTGAGGATTCCTAATAATTTTGAATTGGAGAATCAGTGATCAGTGATAAGCTACCTAAGGGTAGTATTAAAAACTAACTCATAATGTCGAAGAGGGTTGTAGCAAAAGGATCCAACCATGTCACAAAATGGGGCGCGAGGATCTCAGAGTAACAAAAATATTTATTTTTCCAAAGGCAACACGCCTAGCAAAAGCTGGATATGAAATTTACAAAACCAAAGTCCTAAAGCGAAGAAAGTACAAAAAACCTGAATGAGGAACATAGATGAGGAGGAAAACACAGCAAAGGCAGGTGAACAAATGATGAGACCACAATACAAGGAAAATGACAGGATGGATGCAACAGATGACAAGGATGTGACAATGAATGAAAGAAACAGAGATAAACCTCTCTGTTTCTTTCATTCATTGTCACATGGAGTAATATTAATGAAATGTTGAGCAGGTGAGAAAGGAGTAAGGTCAAGTAAACTTTATCATTCCAAGGAGCAATTCGTTTTGCAGACAGGTTCAAAGTGAGGCAGGCAGTTCTCTTGTCTTAAAAGTATTTTATTCGTAAAGAAATATCGTTCAAGACACAGATAGAGACTGAATACCTAAGTGAATGTATACTGAGGGAAAACGCACCACCCTTTTAAACACAGAGGTATATAAGAAAGAACGGGCAGTCTTTTGACCACTGCAGACACAGGTATTTTAGCTTGCACCCCATTCTTGACAATAACAACTCCCTATATGGAATAACCAAGGACATATCATAGATAACTCAGGAGGGATAGCTCAATGTTCCCAAGTAAAACAGGATGTGCATGTCTCACTTCATGAGGCCTTGAAACACACACCAGTATTTGACCAATACATGATATCTCATGATAACCTTCAAACAGGCAAGAGTGCACAAGAAAAAAACCTGATTTGCACAAGAAAAGAGACCATTTATATGTCCTCTATTACAGATGTTTATCTTAGTTCTTGGTGAGTTAGCTATACTTCTCCTGGCCTTAGGTATTTCAGGAGTGGTACTAGCAACGTTTTTTCTAGGCCTTCCCTGAGCAGTGGTTTCTAGGCTATTGTTTAGATGTTTTCGAGCCTTGATATCATAATCATAAATCATCATCGCTGGATAAATATCGAGTGAATTGAAGTGAACTGTATCAAATTGCCCTTATTTGAGGCGATTCGTATCCCTAGGGTCCAGTGGTGCAGGGACATATCCCTGGCATTATGTCAGCCAAATCAGCACTGCCATGCTTCACAATTGATGCATTTCCATATGTACAACTTTGTCTATCAGCATATTTTATAATACCAGATACAGAGTCAATTAAATGTTCACTCTTACACATTTCTTATACTATTTCATTCTTGGTTTGAACTCCCTTATAGTCTCAGTTTGTCGGTTACTCTGTGCAGCTCAGAGATTTTTGTAATCATGTTCTTTTTCTAAAACATACAGAAAGGAAAAAGGAAATGCAAACAAACAGTTAAGTTGGAATCTGTTCTTGTAACAGCAGAGCTGACAAAAGGTCTTGGTTCACAATAATTTTAAAGCAAATAAAGGAGAAAACGGCAGGAAGACTCAGAGATACATTTGCACTCTTCAGAAAAAATGTTCTTAACAAGCTATACAGTGATTTTTAAGCTCAAGGGAGGATGATTTCCTTCTCAAACTTATTTCTGTCTCCTCACCAATATTATCCAGTTATTATTCACTGATAATATGTACTGGTTAGCACTGTCGCCTCACAGCAAAAGGACTCTCGTTTTGTGTCCCAGACTCTGGCTCCCTCCCACCATCAAAAAACATGCATGTTAGGTCAATTTGACACTCCCAATTGCCCCTCCTAGTGAACGTGAGTCTGTGTGATTGTGTGTGTGATTCTTTTTGCTATGGGCTGGCAAATTGTCAGGGTGTACCCTGCCTCTTGCCCATTGTTTATGTGTTTATGTTTATGCATTTGGCAGACGCTTTTATCCAAAGCGACTTACAGAGTAGACACAATATTACATTTCTCATCACAATGACAATAAACTATATAGAGCAGAAACACTGATCAGAGTCAGTGGTGAGATAGAGATAGAGGTAGAGGGACTACAGAAGGAGCTGTGGGGGGGTAGAGGTACGGGTTAGGGTTAGGATAGGAGATGCTCTTTGAAGAGGTGGGTCTTCAAGAGTTTCTTGAAGACAGACAGGGACTCTGCTGTTCTTGTGGAGCTTGGTAGGTCGTTCCACCATCTTGGAACGACACATGCAAACAGTCTGGATTGTCTTAAGCGTGGTGCAGGCACTGCTAGACGACAATCCATTGATGACCGGAGTGATCGAGTTGTGACATAAGCCTTTGCAAGGGGATTCAAGTAGATGGGAGCCATACCCTTAAGCACTTTGTAGGCTAGCATCAGGGACTTGAATTTGATACGGGCAGCCAGAGGTAACCAGTGGAGCTCAATGAACAGAGGGGTGACGTGAGATTTTTTGGGCAGATTGAAGACCAGACGCGCCGCCGCGTTCTGGATCATTTGTAAAGGTTTTACTGTACAGGCCGGGAGACCAGTCAGGAGTGCGTTGCAATAGTCTAGGCGGGAGATGACCATAGACTGCACCAGGAGCTGGGTAGCATGTTGTGTTAGGTACGGCCGGATCTTTCTTATGTTTAGTAATGCGAAGCGACAGGATCGAGAAACAGAGGCAACGTGATCTTTAAAGGTCAGCTGGTCATCAATCATGACACCCAAGTTTCTTGCTGCCTTTGATGGAGTCAGAGAGAGGGATTCAGTTTGGATGTGAATATTGTGGTGAATAGTTGGTTTGGCTGGAAAGACAAGCAGTTCAGTTTTTGAGAGATTCAGCTGGAGGTGGTGGGCTTTCATCCATTTTTATATGTCAGAGAGACAGTCTGAGATGCGTGCTGAGACCGAGTGGTCATCAGGTGGGAATGACAGATAGAGCTGTGTATCATCAGCATAGCAGTGGTAGGAGAAACCATGTGATTGAATGATCTGGGCCAAGGAAGTGGTATATATAGCAAAGAGAAGAGGTCCAAGTACTGAACCTTGAGGAACCCCTGTGGCGAGGTGGTGCACTGCAGAAGTGTGACCAAGCCAGGATACTTTAAATGATCGACCAGTGAGGTACGATTCAAACCAGGAGTGTGCTCTCCCTGTGATGCCCATACTCGAGAGTATAGACAGAAGGATGTCATGATTGACTGTGTCAAATACGGCTGATAAGTCAAGAAGGATAAGTACTGAGGACTTGGCATTTGCCCTTGCCTCTTTTAGGGCTTCTGTCACAGACAACAGAGCCGTTTCAGTGGAGTGGCCACTTTTAAACCCAGATTGATTTGTATCAAGGAGTTTGTTTTGTGAAAGGTAGTCTGTGACCTGCTTAAAGACTGCCCTTTCAATGGTCTTTGACAGAAATGGAAGCAGAGAAACCGGCCGATAGTTTTCCACCTGAGTTGGTGGGAGAGAGGGTTTTTTTGAGCAACGGTGTGACCAAAGCTTGCTTGTATGAGTTAGGAAATGTGCCAGATGTCAGCGAAGCATTGATCACATGTGTGACTGCTGCAGTAACTGTGGGAGCTATGGACTGGAGTAGGTTTGTAGGAACTGGGTCCAGCAGGCATGTAGTAGGACGGCTACATGTGAGAAGTTTGGACACATTGCTCTCAGTGAGAGGAGCGAAGGAGGAGAACAAAGCAGTAGGACTTCTGCTTGTATATGTACTATGAGAAGTTTCATGTGCAAGCCGTTCAGTAAACTGTTTGCTTATAGCTGCCACTTTGTCAGTAAAAAATGAGGCGAACGAGTCTGCCGTTAAGCTAGTAACAGGTGGCGGAGGAGGAGGGTTAAGCAGATTTTTGAAGATGGAGAATAATTTTCGAGTGTCGGTTGTACTGTGAATCTTATCAGTATAAAAAGTCTTTTTTGCATCAGTCATGCTTAAAGAGAATGCAGACAGCAGTGCCTGAAATTTTGTTAGATCATCTGGATTTTTTGATTTGTGCCATTTCCGTTCTGCAGCTCTAAGGCTGGTGCGTAGTGCTCTGAGTGTATCATTGAGCCATGGGTGGGACCCAGAGGCTCGAGCAGGTTTAGTGGATAGAGGACATAGACTATCCAGGCAGGAGCTCAATGTAGAGCAAAGGGTCTCCGTGGCCTCATTAACCTCAAATGGTCAAAGGTCAAAGGGGTTCATTAGTGAGAGGAAATCAGAGGAGTTAGCGCAGCCAAGGTGGATATTCATATCACCAAGGATCATTGTGGGACAATCATATTCATGGATGGAGGAAAGTAGGATATCAAGTTAATTTAGAAAGTCGCCTAGTTGCCCTGGTGGGCGATAGATAACAGTCATGCAGATTTTGACTGGTGCAGTGACCAAGATGGCATGGTATTCGAAAGTATTGTATTTGGCATTAGGCGTTAGTTGGTTGTATTTCCATTTGTTGGAAATTAGCAAGCCTGTTCCACCACCTCTCCCAGATGTACGAGAGGTGTGGGAGAATGTGTGGTTAATTGAAAGTGCAGCCGGGGTAGCGCTGTTTTCAGGCTTAATCCAGGTCTCAGTGAGAGCCAGGATGTCAAGTGACAGGTGTTTGGCATAAGCAGTTATGAAGTCAGCTTTGTTTACTGCCGATTGGCAGTTCCACAACCCCACAGACAAGGGTGTGTCACAGGGGGAGGTTTCATTAAGAGAGCGGAGGTTGTGAAGGTTGCGGTACCGTTTGATAATGCGGGACCTTCTGCATGAGGTAGTGACAACAGGAATGGAATTGTATTTGTGGCACATTGTGGAAGAAAGTGGTATGGCTGCAGCTACAGCGGAATGGCAGTGGGACAAAATTGCCTTGTTCAGTGGCCTTGCTCGGTGGACACGCACAGGTGGACACGCACAGGTGGACACGCACAGGTAGACACGCACAGGTAGACACGCACAGGTAGACACGCAGGTCTTATTCTCAAAGGTCTTACTCGAGAAGGGCTGACGCTACAGCCTTAATGCCCTCTTTTATGCTGTGCTTTCAATTAGACACGGCTGTTCACTGTTAGATTGATTGCACACAGCTGGGACAGTGAGTGTCGTTAGAGAAAGGACCGCCCACCAAGGAGTTTTGGCAACAAGTGCTTTTCAGAG